AATTTTAATTATGACTAGATATTCTTCAGTCATACTTCCAATTTGAATTATGCCTAGTCACAATTCCAATTAGAATTATGACTAGTCCAATTTAAAATTGGACTGAATTTGAATTATGACTACAACACATATATAGGAAAATAATCACTGCGGTTCTTTTTTTGAGATGTGAATATACGACAGAATTCATATCACTCTCATGTATCGTGTGTCTCTTTCAATGCACTTTGACCTCGTCATTTCATTCTTCTTGATATATGTGACTTTGTTTCTTTCTTAGATTCTATTTTGCCTATTCATTCTTTTGTACATTGACTGTACACTTCTTCAGCAGTATAGATTTTATCATCTTTTTCGTAGCTATATAAAGGAGTGTATCATTCGTATCATCGTCCTTTTCTTATCGTTTGCTTCTAAGTGTTTTCTTATCGTTTAACAAATATACGTTTTTAGAATTTAATAGAAGATAATTAAAATATGGCTGCTTTGTCAACCGACACTGTTCCCGTACCGATCAATTCAAATAATAACAATCAAACATCAAACGCTAAAAATGTTATCGAGACGTTTTTTTGTCGATTCACTCAACATGACGATCGCCGAACGTCTGCAGAATGTAAATTGTGCCACAAGGTGATATGGCACCACAAAGGTGTTACATCAAATTATTCGCGACATGGCCAGCGGCATCATAAAAACGAATTTGAACAGTGGTCAACGTCTTTGAAACAAAAAAATGATAAACAAAATGATAGAAAGCAACCAAAAATCGACGAGGCCTTCAATCGTTCGACAAAATACGGAAGCAGCCATCCACGCCAAATCGAAATAACTCATGCTATTGTTAACGATATGATTATTGACCTTGGCTTACCGCTATCAATCATAGAACGTCCTGCATTCATTCGCGCGATGAACATCATTGATCCCAAATATAAATGTACAAGTCGGTGAAGTATCTGTCGCGAAGCAATTCCACAGTTGTATGAAACGGTAGTGATAAAATTGAAACATGTGTGCAACAACGCAAAGTTCGTGTCTTTAACATTAGACATTTGGAGCGACCGTCGTATGCGGGCATTCTACGCTGTCACTGTTCATTTGATAACGGATGGAAAATTTCAGTCATATGTTCTATCGTTGTTACCATTGTCAGGTATGTTTAACAGATGAAGGACCTACTGAATCATATCCGGCGAGCGAAAATTGCTGTAGTTCAGACTCAAAGAACCGTGGTTTTCTGAAAAGAGCGAGAAAGCAGATCATCATGTCCCATTCTTCAGAGACCAAACCAAAGTTGTTCGTTCCTCGCGAACTGTACCTCAACTTTTTTCTCGAAGATTTTTAAACATTTTTTGATGTCTGTTTGAGAAAATTCGACTAAAATCTTTTTAATTTCCTACTCAAGGCTGCATCAACGTAAAAAATGGATGAAAAATTAAGAAAATAGAAAGAGAAAATGAACAAAAAATTAGGGTAGCCCTCGTCTGTCTAAGTTTCTCTCGGCCACCCACCATTTTGGCTCTGCCGTTCTTTACTTGCAGCGTCAGATGTATTTTATTATGCAGCTTAATTTCAACAAAAACGATAAAACATTTTGTACCACTATTGTTCGCATTTGTCTAGTGTTCTCACTTACTACAAGGATTACGCTACGCCATTTACTCGCTTTCTGGCCATGATCTAAGCTTTTTTCCGTTTCTTTAGGCTGCCACTCCGGTGACAGTTTGTTGAGTGAATATGAAAAAGTAATTTCAAGTTACAATATTCAACATAAAATCGTCCGTTTGATCACCGACAGCGCTGCAAACAACATAAAGGCGTTTAAAAATCTAACATTACCGG